TCGCTTTCCTCGTTTGCAGTGGCCGATGGGCCAGTGGGTACATCTACCGTAGTTGCCCTTGCACTTAGCACACGTATCGCAAGAATCGACATAGGCCTTGATGTCGCGATTTTTGAATTCCCACCAGTAGCTGGAAAGGAGTTCTCGCATACGGGTAACACCTGAGTGGTTGTTGCCCTCATGTGCCTGGTAGAGGTATCTGGATCGTAGTTTGTATGGTACAACCAATCTCGGAGAGTGTTTACTGTCTCTTATCATCAAAACGGAGGTGCCTGGTTCTAGAAAAAATTGGTGCACATGTTTTTTGAAAAGTTGTAGCTCGGTGGTCGTCAGGATCGATATGAGCTTCGCTTGGAGTGGGTGACTGGAGGGCGCTGATGATCTTTGCCAGGGCGTCGTCCTTCTGTTGTTCATTTGCGATGCTGAGGTGGTTGCAGATTCTCTCAGTGGGGATGGTGGTGGTAGAGTGATAGGCGAAGAATGCGTTGGTGACGCGCTTGTGGGTGCGGGCGTTTTGTGGTGTGTGAGTTTTGGGAATGAGCTGTAAATGAGATGTATACGCGGAGGTCTGAACCACTTACCTCGAATGTCCTGCCTGCCGGTGTAGGGTCGCTCGGGGCTTTCGTTTTCTTATGTCCGCAACCTCTGCTGAGCATGCCAGCCCATACATTTGATTCGCCTTCGACATATTCTAAGACGAATTTATAACATGAAATTTCTTCTTGCCATCGTCGTATTTTGGCATTATTGAACTCTCGTTGGTCCAGATATGTCAGCGATCTGTGGTCGGTGAAGATGACGAAGGGGCGGTTGCGAAGGAAATAATCAAATTTCAATATTGCCCACTTTATTGCATATGCCTCTCGTTCCGTCGTGGACCAGTTCTGTTCCGTGGAGTTGAATGTATGGGAAGCGACCGCTATGATATCTTTCTTCCCGTTGTCGGCTTCTTGCATTAAGATTGCTCCACATGCGACGTCACTGGCGTCGGTGGTAAGTGTGAAAAGTTTGGAGAAATCCGGAAACGAGATGACGGGTGGCGAAGAGAGACGGTCCTTGATTATTTTGAAGGCTCTATCGGCATCTTGCGTCCAGATAAACATATCTGACCTGATTTGTTCGTGAAGACGTATCTCTAGGAATTGTCTGATCCACACCAAACGGCCGATAAGGCTTTGTAATTCCTTTTTTGATGTTGGAGGTTTCATTTCCCTGATGGCACGAACGTATTCTGGATCAGCCTTGAATCCTTCGCTGTTTACTATGCGTCCGAGGAATTTTGCCTCTGATGCGAGGAAGGAACATTTATCTGGATTCAGCTTGAGTCCGAATTTTCGAAGGGCAGTAAAAAAATTGTTCGAGGGAGAGTATGTACTCCCTAAATGTCCTAGTGTGGACCAGGTTGTCGGTTGTAGGAAGAAATGTTGTCACGGGATGTGACCTTGGCGAGAGCTTCTGCTATGCAACGGGAGAAGATTTGTCCGGCAGATGTAAGGCCGAAGGCCAGGCGCGTGTATTGATAGCATTGGTCCTTCCATGTAAATGCTGTTTTGTATCGGTCTCGCTTGTCGATCTCAATTTGCCAGTAGCCGCTGCGTAGATCGAGGGTAGTGAAATATCTATTGCCTTGGCCGATTTTGTTGAACAAGTGGTCGATCCTTGGCATTGGGTAAGGGTCAAGATCGACTAAGACCTTGTTGAGAGTTCTTTTAAAGTTAGCGACAACGCGAATCGATCCGTTTTTCTTGCGTACGGCAAATACAGGACTATTGAAGCCTTTGGGTCGCTGCAGTTTTCAATGATACCTTCATCGGCCATGCGCTTAATTTCGGTATCAACGTCTGCTTCCAAAGCCTGGGCGATCGGGTGTTGTTTCTGGCTGCGAGACTGGCCGTTACTTGATATGCGGATGGGTCGGATGAATGTGCCTTTGCTTTCAGTGCCGATAACGTCAGCGTAGCGAATGAGTAAGTTTGCAGTGGCCTCTAGTTCGTCTCGGTTCGGGTGGTTTGGTAGCGATAGCCCCGTGTTATGCTTTAGCCAGATTAGCTTTTGATCCAGTGTCTGGATGTTGGGCTGTAGTTCCATAGTAGGCTGGTTTTTGATGACGTCAGCTTGGGCGCCATATGCTGGATCGTTGGTTGACGATGACGGTGATATGATTGCGGCTGTGTGTGTTGTATATCCTGAGGAAAGTGTGCGTCTGAATTCTATAGTAGGATATTTTGGCCGATCAGGATTGGTGTGGTTTGGGTAGTTACCAGCACGTTAACCGTTTTAAGTGTGGGTGAGTCTCGACTGCCGATGGTGATGTCGCAAGTCAGTTCGCCAAGGTTTCCTTTGATTCCTTTTACTACGACGTCGGAGCGGGTCATGTGTTTCTTGGCTTCTCTGGGTAACTGAGATATTGGTAAGATGCAGGTGGAGCATCCAGAGTCTAGCATTGCAACGCCAGAGAAGGCGATGTCCCTGAAGTTGAAGGTGGACTGGACGAGCGGTGAACTTGTTGGTGTGATGGCTGAGGTAGGGGCACGGCGAACGAGGCATCACATCTCGTCCTGCCCGAAGCGAAAATCCTGTTCCACATCACTTATGGCTTGTATATCATCATTCGTTGCGACGATATGGGCCTGTGCCCGAGTGCGAGGTGGGTGGCAATATAGACAGTTGCGTCCATGGAGGCAGGGGCGACCTCTGAGGTAGTTCTTGCACACGCTGATTCGTGGTGTGTGCTGATGGTTTCTGCGTGTCGGATGGTGGCCATGTTCGGGAGGGTTGGTGAGGCCGTGACCACCGATATATATTGGTGGTCACGGTGAGGCCCGTCTGCTGTGGGTTTGGTTGCCTGCTAGGTCGGAGTGGCGCGTTTCTTTGGTTTGACCGCTGTGGTTTCTGTGTGAAATACACAGTGTCGTGCGAAGTCGTGTCGTTGGATTTTACACCGCGATCAAGGTATCTTTGAGCTTCGGAGGCTATGCCAATGGCTGAATAGTGGTTGTCCATTGTCTTGACGAGATGTGGGTAGAGATTTGAGTTCCAAATTTTCACCTTTTCGCTAATTAGCATAGCGCCGATGATGGAAATAAGTCCATCGACTGTTAAGTCTGTATTTTTGTCTTTTTTGTATTTGTTTTTTTTTATGTGGACGGCTGCCTCTCTAAGGGTGTTTTTCGAGTCGACCCGCGAAGCCTGTTAATTTTTCGCCGTCTCGCCGTTCCAGATCCCAGGCTTGACTGAGGTGTTGGAAGTTAGTCATCTGGCTTCCGTGGGCTGCTAAGTATTCCTTCAGTTGTTCGAAGGTGGATATGTCTTTTTCTGCGTCAACCATCTGCTGAAAGATACTTTGGTCCAGTAAATCTTTAGCAGACTTGACGAATTCGCATTCCAGGCTGGGATAGGTGCTGAGTTCTGGCGTGACGTGGATTGTGGTATGCTTTGTTTAGGGCCGTGATGAATCGGTTCACGTCGTGTCCAGGGTGAAAAGTTCTCTCTAGCTTCAATATGTCGCGTATAGTTTGTTGGCGCATCATTAAGCTGTAATCGCCGTTTGTTTGAGCGGTGGGAGGTGTTGAAGCAGTTGATTTTAGGGCAGTCAGCATGTCATTTATGTCGGCTTGAATTTCGTGTATAGTGGCTTCGGAAGGCTGTGTTGGTCCCGTTTTCAAGTTGAATAGTAATGTTTTCTGTTCCTTGATGATAGTAAATAGTTCGGCTCGGGTGAAGCTCGTGTTGTCGTCCATATTTCTCTTGCTGTACGCTTCTGACACCAGTGTTATAGACAAGCATATGGTTGCAAGAATGAAATACGACAACAGCAGAAATAGATTTACGTGATTTATTTCAACAGGAACGTGTGGGTTTGGGACAGCTACCTTGTGGTAAAGTTCATAAGCCGGCTTCGAATCTGGGTTGATCTCTCATAGTAGTTCGCACTGGTTGGCGCTGGCGCGCCCCCTGCTGACTGCTGCTGACCGCTCAACCTGACCGTGACAAGTCTCTTCCCTGGCCTCCTGTTGACTTCCCGTTGTACTTCCGTGTGACCCTTTTTATGGCGTTTTTTATGGCTTAACAGGCTCGAAAAATGACGCGAGTATAATTAGGAGGGAAGCATTTTTATTGGTCGAAAAATAGAAACACTTTAAAATATTATTTTATTTTTAGACCGGAACTCGTGCGTCGGGAACATGCGTAAACGAAGATAATGGTCATTTTGTGACGGGGCCTTGTCCCGTTCCCATCCGACTCTCGCTCTTGAGTATGTTAGTTTATTTGCCTGTAAATCAGCCGAGATATGTCTTATTCTATTTTATAACAATGCATTTAGTAGTTTTAAATGGGACTATAGATTTTAAGATATTCTACAATGAACAAAAATGTCTTTTTTTTAATAACATCTCATTGGAGGATTATATAATTTTTAATTTTTGCTATGTAAAAATCTTTTCCTGCCCCAAACACATTCAACAAGACAGCGGGGATTTCCTGTAAACATTTCCTGAAGGACTGGTTCAAATCTCTTAATTAAAACAGACAAGCTGATTTAGAATCATAGTATGGTAGAGAATGTCTAAGAAAACTTTTGTATAATATTCAGATTTTATATAATATAATATCTTGTATAATATTTTAGAGAATGTAAACAAATTTGGCTGGAAGAGATAATATTAGTAACCATAAAATTATAATGAAATTTCTACTCTTAATAAAAAATAGATTACTTTTCAGACTGTTTTAGCAAGTCCTTGTTTTTATTTGGATGGCATAAATTTCCATTGGTCTTTGATTAATACTCATCTAAAGAAATAGATTATGTCAAAGATGTTTTGCTGAACCATGTCTTTACATTTAATTTATATTTTCTCTTATACTACACTATTGACAAGATTACAGCAATATAATGTGGGGACAAGATGTCAGAATGTTTTCTAGTGTCTGTCTATATTTCTGAGATTATGTACACTATTTACATTATACTTTTTATTTTTGTGTTGGGGATTCAGGTTGAACTTCGAAATATTGCAACTAAAAAAGAATATGTATTTTACTGCAATCGTTGGTTAGCAACTGATGAAGATGACAATCAAATCTTGCGAGAACTACCTGCCACTGGAGAAGGAATAAAAAAACCATTACCTGGTCAGTATTAACAAATATGAGCAATTAAAATTCCTGTTTTTTATTTGCATTATTAAAATTTTAAAATTTAAATATTTCAAGATATTAAACATTCGGCTCAGGAATTCAAAGGAATTCAGAAGTATCAAAGCACGAATATTTCAATAAATATTTTAAATTCTGTTTCTATTCTAATTTGGTTTCACTTTTACTGTCTTACTTTCATAGTTTTACTTCTAACTCTCACTGTCTCACTTACAACTCAAAAGTTTTCAATTTTTTTTTTTAAATTTCATTTGAAATACAAATTATATAAAAAAAAAATTGTTAAAATCATACAAGGAATTCTGAACTAAACCTACAAGGAATTCTGAACTGAACCCTTTATTTAATTTATGGTGCTAGACTATTCTTATTCCACTGCTCATGTCTAGGTATATTGTCTAATTCTTATTTAGTACTGCTCAGTTATTGCTTGACAGTTTCTACTCAGTGTCCTATAGGACAATGGCCTAATTTATTAAAGTGTTGGTTTGTGAATTTGGTGATAGTGATTGTGAGTTCAATCCATGACTCAGGCAGTGTGTACTTGCACTCCTCATCCAAGACATTCAGACAGAAATTGTTAAAATACCTTTAAGCTAAGACTATTTTAGCTATGTAATACTAAAATCTATTCTAGTCAGAGCATGTAAACCCATATCAATTTCAAACTTTGAGTCATTAATAACATGTTACACTGGTTATCAATTTTGACATTTTTTTCTCTATTTTTTTTGAAAATGACCAATGATGGTTGAAAGGACTCAGAACATTGGACACAATTTAAGCAAAACTCCTTTACATGCTTCCATGTGACATCAAATGACTTATTTGACATCAGCAGAAACTTACTAAAAAGCTTAATAGGCAATTATTATGTTTAATAGAATATATTTAAACAAGTGATTGCTGTTTAAATATACTAAGCTTAAAAAAATATATACTACTTTACCTTGATTATTTTAGTGGCATGTAACCAAAGTATGTTTTCACACACACATATGCAATCTGTTGTCTAAATGAAAAATTTTAATTGGTTGTTTCCATTTCCCTACAGAACACATTGAGTTAAAAAGAAACTTAAACTATTAAAACCTCATGATGTCCAACTTCCTTCCTCTCCTCAAGCACTTGACAAAAGTGACAAACTAATTTCTTTCTTGTTTATTTAAAGAAAAAAGCATCAAAGGCTGGCATTTGATAGACTATATTTTGTCATTTACAGATTTTTTATTTCAGTCAATATTTTATAAATTATCAAAACTATTTTTCTAGGAAAAATGTTTCTGAGTATATATGATTTAAACCAAATTATTATTTAAAAACATAAAATACCAAGATGTCTGTTAGCTGAAAAAAATATGCATTGCTGTTTTTGGTTTGGAATGATTATTTATCTGATGAAAATACTTAAACTATTTGAATAGACACACGTTGGCAGTACACAGAAAGCCACTAGAATTCAACATCTTGATATTGACACAATAGAAGTGCTGGGTGGGGAGTTTATTTCATAATCAGGTGAAATGCAGTTCCTTTGCAAGGAGGTACCTCTGTGTGTGTGTGTGTGCAGTACTTTTCATGTAGAATTCTACCATTAATAAAACAAGTGGACTGTGGTAATGGGCAGAAGGTAAGGTACCTGCTCAATTACAAACCACACAACAGAATACCCTCATGTCTACACAAGTCAGAAATGTGAAGATAATCACCAAGAAGAAGAGCTCTGCTCAAGAAGTCATGTCTTGGTGCAATCTGACAGCCAGGGATAGTGTACACAGTGCAACCACTCCTAAAGTTCTCCACTCGTATAAAGTCTAAATGAAGAGCATTGACAGGAATCCTTTGATAAGATATGAAGCCTATAAGAAAGTGGTTGTGCTGCCAAACAAATGTATGATCAGACTTTGGATGTACTCAAGTCATCATTCATAAGTTCTGAAGTATTTCTGGTTGACAACGTATCATACCATATCAGAGATCTTCCCCACCTTTTTTACTTGAGCAAATCGATGGATGATGATGTGAATATGTCCACATCAAGTGAGGATGAAATATACCTGCCAATAAATAGCAATGAAGATCCTGACTATTTGAACAATTATAGTACTTACTCAGAAGCTGATAACAATGATTTGGCTAATGATGATGATGACCAATTGGATAACAATAACTCAAAACAGCAGATTCACCCCAGGAAGTAAGAGAACTTCCTGCCCATTCGCTTCAGGGGAAAACCAGGCAAAAAAGATTGCTGAGAACCTGTTAGTGTTATGGTCAATGAGACCAGTGGGAGGGTAGTAAAGAAAGAAGGTGAGTGTTTATACTGTGGGTGGCAAAAATAGGCAGAAAGACTCAACTGAAGCACCTTTATACCACTCATGCAAATGACTTCACTTGAACTGTGTTCATGAGGGAGTGAGCTTTTTGACTTTCATGGAGTGACAAACTTGTTCACAAAAAGTAACTGATGGTTGTTGAATCAGAATTGTTCATTTCACACTACACAGTGGCTTGATTCATGTTAGTCAGTGGTTTGAATTATGAAAACTGTAGCTTGGATTGACAGACTGCTTTGACACAGCTTTACAATCGTTAACAATATCAATAGACTAGAAGTTATTTACTTTCTTTAATAAACACACGATTTTTTTTGAGTTACAACTATCATAAATTTATTTTATGTTTTCATTAAGTTGTTTGTATTAGATTTTTCAGAAAGTAATATCACATTTTAAAGAAAACTATATAAAAAGCTAACCTCCAGGAGAGTGACTTATTGCACCTTCTCGGGCTAAAATTTTCTACTGACATGAAGTGGAAAAATTACATTGAATCGACTTCTAGGTCTTCTGCTAGGAAAGTTGGTTCACTGTGTCATGCTAGACAATTTTTTTCACCAGAATGTATCTTACACATAAGTCTACCATACATTTAATATTGCTGCCACAACTGGTCTGGTGCTTCTGCTATATAAGACATTCTTGATAAAATCCAAAGAAGAATCTGAAATGTTATTGGTCCTAGCATTATGTAAGGATTATAAAAAATACCTATCAGGAACTTAAGACTGTATTACAATTCACTAAAATGATTAAAAGAAAATTGATGCAAACATAATTAATTTCTATTTTATTATGCAATGACATAAATGACAGCATTAACAAAGTAATTTTTCAATTCTTTACTAATAAAAAAAAAGTTTCTGATAAAAACTTCTGATTTGATATCTTCAATATTTCTGACTGTCTTGGCACTAAGAAAATGTTCTTGTTATTGAAACAATTTGATGCTAAGTCTGGTGAGCATGAAAGTGAAAATAAAATTTCCCAGCATAATGACAATTTTATTTTTTTGCCAAATGAGGCTTTAATTTTGCCATTTTAGATGCTGACACTATTTCTAGTCACCAAAACTGTATATTTCTAGTGTACTAGATACACTCAAGTTATTGACAAATGTCTCCAATGAAATCTAAGTTATTAAAACTTGACATAGATTGTAAATAAGACACATTCTGATAAAACATGTTAAAATAAGTCTAATTTACAGGATTTTACAGTAGATGACTGGTTTCAGATTTGCATACTTTAAATAGGACACTATTTTTCAAAACCAGTAATATTGTATCTTCAAGTCTTACAATTTTGCTTAAAATTTCAAACATCAATCCAGAAAAACAGTATCTTGTACTGAATTTCTTGATTTATATCTCTTTGTTGATGTCAAATTTTTATTTTCAATTCTTTTTTTCTTTTTGCAGTGATTACCTATAAAGTTGAAGTGTACACTGGAGATATTCTTGGTGCAGGAACTGATGCCAATATATTCTTGAATATTTTGGGGGTATTTGGAGATACAGGAGAACGGTTTTTAACGGATTCCAAAACAAACAAAAATAAATTTGAAAGACGAAAGGTATATATATATATATATATATATATATGGGTGTGTGTGTGTGTATATATATATATATATATATATATATATATATATATACATTATCTCTCTCTTACTACCTCTATCTCTATCTCTATATCTCTATATCTATCTCTATATCACTACCTCTTTATCTCTATTTCTCTCTATCTCTCTCTATCTCTCTCTATGTCTATCTCTCTATCTTTATCTCTCTCTCTATCTCTATATCACTATCTCTCTAGCTCTATTTCTCTCTATCACTATATATATCTCTCTCTATCTCTATCTCTCTCTCTCTCTCTCTCTATATATATATATATATATCCCTTTCTCTCTCTCCCTATACATATATATATATATATATATATCCCTCTATCTCTCTCCCTATCTGTCTCTCTACCTCATTCTGTCTCTATATCTATCTATCTATCTATATATATATATATATATATATATATATATATATATAATCACTCTCCCCAATTCTCACTCTCTCTCTCTATCTCTCTATCCATCTTATTCTCTGTCTTGCTCACACTATTTCTCTCAAATTTTATAAACAGAATACAGGAGTATACTATAGTAAGCTAATTAATCATGCATGATTTTGTTCTGCATTAACAAAACCTTGTTGTGTGAATTTAAATTTTAGGGCAATCATATAATGAGATAATCTGATTAAAACTGTTGCCTGGCCTGACACTGTAACTCTGTACAGCCTCATGGTCACTGGGCTTTTCATAGTGTGTTCTGCTTGTGTCAAAATGATGTTATAAACATGCATATGATAGCATGAAAAAATTAAATAGTACTGCCAGCTAGGCGGAATGTCTCTGTGAGCTAGATGTGGTAATTTGGAGGAGATTAGGTCTTGAGTAGGTCTTGCATTGGGACAGTTGACCAAGGTCTTGTTGACGTTGTTGAGAGAGACTTGGTGTGGATTAGTGAAGCTTGCTGTAAATCTGGCTCAATCGTTTCTTAAAGCAAATGTGGTGGCTCCCAAACTCATGTTTTTTCTTTGACAGCAATATTCATGATTGGCTACTTTTATGTTTGATTTATTTTTTTTTATTTTTGTTTTCAAGGGGATTTGTTTTGTGTTGCTAGGAGCCACTGCACAGAGGAAGACTTTATTTTTAGTTTCTGTCCAACATGTAGAGTGAATTTTGATGCAATATCGAAAACAGTTTTAAAGTTAATTCCAGCAAGTTGAGTTATTGTACCTCTTTAAGAGAGTGTATGTTCTAAAATTTTATATTGAGAAATCCATTTCCAATGCAAACAATTTTCTTTGCTCTTTTTTTTCTTCTTTTGGGGCAATACATCAGGGACTAAGTTATATTGTATAGCATTATGTAAGGAATATTAAAAAATACCTATCAGGAACTTACTGTATTACAACTCACCAAAGGATTCGAGTAAGTTTCTGCTTCATTGTAAAAGATCTTTGTTCTTTTAAGAAGCTTCAAAATGGTTTCCAAAATTGCTATCCAGGGATTTGTTAGTTTTTGCTTTTAAAATTGAAATGATTTGCTCAACATATGGTAGCATTAATTTCTTCCTATAGTTTAATTGGATGTGTTTTTATAACTATTATCAGTATAGTTTTTTCTATGTTCCTTTCATTCTGAGAAATTTGTGTGTAAATTCATCATTAATAATTACAGGAAGAAAGAAATGAGGCCAGGAAAGAAGTTTGCACTCAGAAGATTTTTCTTTTCATTGGTTGGCTGGAAATCCTATTCAATCTTAATATTTTTTATATTAAAACAGATCTCACAAATAACATGTTCCATTCTATTTATTGACTGAACTCATGTCTGCATAAAACTTACCAAAACACATTGATCTTACAAGTTATTCACAAGTATAATAGTGATTCTGTTTTGATTAAAAAAATGTGTATAAATAAATTTTACTCAAAATCAGATATTAGACAAGTTGAAATAAGTATTGTTTGTAATTCTGACATGAGCTATTGTCATGACTTATTCAAACTAGTATCCTTCTTTTTTATTTTACTCCTTATTTTTTTATACTAAGTGCCAAAACAAACTGATCAAACCAGTAAAACTCATAACACAAGTCTAAATAATTCCTGGAATAAAATTGGAGTTGAACAAGTATTTATTCATGAACAGTTTTACTTATTTACACTATTTGCATGCAGACTATTGTCCTCATCTTTGTTGTTGTTATCAAATGTAACAACATTTTGGCCATTGTGCTTTCTTCATCTGTCTGTCAATTTGGGTAACCTACAGGGAATTTATTTAATCTATCAAGACAAAATATACAATGTATTTGTGTTTATTTGATAAAGTCACTTGTAATTGAGTTTTTTTCAAAACAGTTGATGGTTCTTTTCAAAGATACATTTATAAAAATCATTTTTCCTTTCAAAGATTTATTCATAAAATTCAGCAAAAATATGATAAATGTAAACTTTAAAAAAATTCTTCAACAAGAAATGCATTTAAATATCAACCAAAGATAACATAATATTATGAACTACATTTAGTTTTTCAGCATTTGTTTGTTAAAATTGAACAGTGTTTGTTGTGCTTAATTGAATTTTTTATCCTTTTTTAAGATGGATGAATTTCAAATTGAAGCTGTGACATTGATGGAACTAAAAAAGATCAGGATTGGCCATCACAGCAAACATCCTGGAAGTGGCTGGTATTTGAATAAAGTCATAATCACTCCAAGTAATGACCTGGACCACTCTTACACATTTGAATGTAATCGGTAAGTTTTATTCATTCATATACATCAGTGCATTGATTTGAAAATTTAAGGGCAATGCATATGATGCCCATATCATGCACAACATATATATGCATTGAACTGCATTCACTTTTAAGGGTTAACTTGTATTAAAGTAAAAAAAGAATCAAATTGGAAGATAAAATATTTATATCCATGGAGTACTTCTTTTATTTTTTGGAACTAAGTGGGACAAATATATATACAGAAAATCTGATGGTTAGAAAAGGTTAATCATAGTTCATAGAGTAGCATAGTAAGATATTTTGCATATTTTTCTGGAGTCAGGGTAGCATGTTTGCCTTCAGTTAATTTTTGGCTGATTCTATCTATGTGGCATGGTGTCAGTCTTGGATCTTCCTTCTCACTCTTGGATGGATTATCTTTATCTTTCACATCCACCAAAATTTTCCCATCTTCACTCAAAAACATCAACTTTGCTACTTGTTAATGAATCTGAGCAAGGGAAGGGATAGAAATGCTTGACATGGCATGATACCCTGTTCACTAGAACCAATTGAACAGACAATCCCAGTGATCTGTCCCACTTTAAGTTATTGTGAATTAATTGTGTATAGGTTTCACAAATGTAGTGGGGGGGGAGAAAAATTTTATATTGAGAAGGGAAGTGGAAAAGATTATAATCACAGATTAAGCATAGGTAATGAGAAGTACAGAAATGCCATGACTGTGTCCCTGTACAACTGGTAGAGGAAAAAGGATAAGCCAAACCCCATAGTGTATTATAATGAGTGTATGGTTGCAAGGGAAGGAACAAACAAGGATTATAATTTCAACAATGTGCATTTTTCAAATTTCAGAATATGTACATAGTTGTGTGAAAGGTGGCAAAAATAGTTAATATGTGGTTCTTTAGTTGCTACTGTTAAGGAAAGTGATTAGGTGTAAGAGTGTTGTCGGTAGGGCTGAGAGTTGACCAATTTGTTAGGTTGGTTGACTGAGGTCACAGTTGGTGTCAGGAGAGAGGCCTGGAGCAGACTAGTAAAGCCAAATGGAGTGTTATTGGTGGGGTGAACATACACCTTTCTTCAGGATTGAAATTGACACTGGTGAAGCTGGCAGTCATGTGATAAAGCCAAGGTGTTGAAGCCAAACTGTCGGGAGTTGATGTAGATTATGGTAGTGGTGATGAGGGAGGCCTGGAGTGCATAGTGAAGGTGGATTGAGCAGAAAGTCTGTTGGATTTGGGTCATATGGGAGCTCAAAAAAACATGGTCACAGTGATAACAAGGGAGACTTCGAGTGGATAGTGAAGCTATGAATCTGACTTTGCTGATACAGAGGGTACAAGTGAAATGTCGGGTGAAGTTCCAAATCTAACTTTGTTGATACAAGGAGTGCATTGGCATTTGGTATTCTGTTTGTTGAGTGGGATATCAAATGAAATGGGGTGATAAATGATGACAGCATGCTAAATAGGAGGCAAAATCTTGTGTCCATCTGCAAACAAAGGAATAAATTTGTTATAAAGAATGTTGGAATGGGGTCACCACTCACTCCTGAATAGGCTGTCTGGTAGGATTTTTCTGTAACTAGCTGTATGGTTCTGGATTGAGATCAAATTAAGCAACACTGAACATATGAAGAAATAAGAATTGAAAATACAAACCGAGAAGTATCTATAAAAAAAAGATTTGTTTCTTGTACAACATGCTTAAATGAAGAACACTACAATAGTGAAGAGGTATTGTAATGACTGGATGAGTTTTTACTAAAGTTGTCTTATTCGTGGGTGTTATTAGTTGATTTTATTGAAATCAGAAATATTTGTATCATTTTGCTATTGGTAGTTGGTGAGTCATGTTGCGTATATGAGGATATCTGCTAATGTCAAAGACCATTGTTATTACTGGATGAATTTTAGAGTGTTTTCATATTTGTGGCTCAGACAAGATTTAAAGAGAATTTTGTCAAAATGATTAGCAACAGTATTTTAATTTTGATATTTTTCTCTCAATTTTTACTTGCTGCTGGATCTTGATGTTTCTATCCCATGTATCTAGACAATCATTACATTCTCTTTTCTTTAAATTGGCCTGTAGAGATTCCATATTTCAAGTCTAAGGGTGTCTTTGGTATTAAGTATTTGGTATCAAGAGAAAGGAATAATGAACATTAGATTTTAACAATGTTTATTGTTGACATGTCACAGAGAGATGTTGGAGAATGGGTGAAATGTCTATTTCAGTGGGTGATCATCAAGATAGTGATCTGGTGTAAGTGTAGCACCAGGAATTGACTTATTTCTTGTGCTGGCCTTGATTGAGGTCACAGGATATGGTCAGTGTATGTTTGGCTGATCAAGATCATTTTCGTTGGTTGTGTTGAACTAGGGTGACATCAGATTGGTGTGGTTTTGGCAGGCCTGTTCCATGGAACAGAGGTTGCAGTGTCAACTGCAAAGGGAATGCCATGTAAGCAAGTCGAGGTAGGCCAAGGTGACAGCAGGAACTGGTAGGCCTGTTCTATGGAACAAGGTTGCTGATCAAGGCCATGGTGGAGGGTTGATTTCTGTTGGTTTACAGCATCCTATGATGAAGGCTTATAGCTGGGTGGTGTTGACGCTGGATAGTTGGCCACTCATGGCTGGTGTTTGTTGAGATTGGTGTTGATGAAGGCTTGTAGATAGGAAGTGTCGAGGTTGAGATGTTTCAAGTTGAAGCTGGCTAAGGTGGTGGTTGATCAAGCCTGGGAGTGGTAACAGTCATTGAGATGTGTGGTCATGTTGAGTGCTGGCAATGAAGATGGTGACAACAGGAGCAGTGCTCTGCATGATGGCCAGCAACTGACCAAGCCACAACTCTGATGGTTACTTTCAGAGACTGCCAGACCTGCTTTTAAGCAGGTCTGGCAGTCCCCAGGGGCATCTCTTTATCCATTGGGAATGTTCGCGATTGGTCACTGCCAGAACTTGATTAATGATGCATGGAGCCTTATGCAGACAGCAATTTTTGTCATTTCATTCTCTGCCTTCATAGTGTTCACATCCAGCCAGGATGCAGAATGAATCAGAAAAAGATCTAATTGTGACAGTATAACATCTTATAGTTTTAAGTCAAAGACCATTTACTTAGTATTCATATACAATTCATGAACTGTTTTTTGTCTTTTTTAATAATGAATGTTTCAATAAAAATATTTCTATTTGAATAGAAAATATTGGTTTTATAAGTGGATGGCAGAGATCCCTTGCTACAATGCTATTTTTACCATTTACTACCAGAGAATCCATTCAGATAGCTCTATGAATGTGCCCTTATACCCTACCTGGATTTGTCCAATAAATAGGTTTATATTATGGAATGTTGGTAAAAAAAGCTCAATATTGTTTTCTTAGGCATGTTTTAAAAACAATCCACTTGAACATAAAAGCTACAATGAAGAAAAGGGATATTGAAAACCAGCATTGAAAAGTATATTTAAATGTAGTCTCTTTGATTTTATTCAATGTTTAAATGCTTTAAGTATGATACACACTGCTGCTTAAAATGTAGAGAAGATTATACAAATTTGTTACAATGGCTTCCATTTTAAATATTTTAAAAGGAGTACAAAATTTAAATTCAAGTAAAATGGATATATAAGAATAAAAAGAAAGACATATTTACAAATCAGCTTTGATAAGAGCAGAATGACTGATTGATGTGGGGCCAAAGTTGGGACCACAGAAGTAAAACACAGAACACGGATTAGATGTAAGAAAGATATATTAACAACAGGTTACAGAGATAGTGTAAGCAGAGCTTACTATATCACTCTCTATGTCGCTCAGTGTGACTCTCAGTGTGACTCTCTGTGTCTCAGTCTAGAGTGTTATGTCGCCTACTTAATATAGACCTGGAAGAGTCTATTGTGTAGGTAGTTTCCGGTCTCACAATACCCCACTTCCAAGAGTTTTCTTTTTGAAAAGGAGAGAAAAAAATAAAACTGTTAATACTTTTTCCTCTTGGGATTTACGTCGAGCGGTTGAGTAAATTTACTTTTCCTTCCTGAGCATCGCACTTCAGGAGAGACTTGGGGCATGTCAAGATCGAACTAGAGATCTTGATGTGTGAGCCACAGCTTTTCGCGAACCATCTGGCCGTTTATGTAAAATGCAAGCACCAATGCCATACGAGCTTGCATCACTTGCGACTATGATGTCGAGACTAGGGTTGTAATGGGTGAGGGAGAGGTCCGAAGTAAGAGTTTTCTTGATCTTCTCGAATGCGTATTGACATTCCGGGGTCCATGACCATGGTTTATCTTTTTTTAAGAGTTGGTTGAAAAGCCCTCTCAAATTTTGCATGTTCTTAATGAACCCTTGGCTAGGCTGCAGAAGCTTTGTAACACTTGAACATTATCTGGGACCGGCATGTTTCTGATCGCGTTGGATCATATTTGATTGGACTTCTTTTTTACGTAAAGAAAATTAAGTACTTAAAATTATCGGCAGTCAGTTCGGCTAGTTTAAAATCATTACATAGCTTGTTTACCGATGCTGCAAACGTTAGAAAATCTTGCTGGTTGTTTTTGACTGTGTTCAAACATTTCCAACGTTTGTGAAACAAGGTTGTGTTAGGCCCGAATAGTTCCGATAGAAGCTTAATAGTCTCTGAAAAATCCAAGTCAGTTGTTTTCTTGGGTAGTATAAAATCTACAAACCTACTATGTTCTGTAGTTCCCAGTTTCCTCAATAGTAGACGTACCTTTTTTTTACTGGGCCATTGTTCACAGTCTATGTTGAAAATATCTTCGTAGTGTCTGTAAAATCCCTCAAAAGTTTTGTCTACCTCTGGTACGTATTCAAAGGTTTCCATTGAATTGTAGATTATACTCTGGGAGAATATTGTATCTTTTTCAGAGTTTGAGACTTTTAATGCATTTACGAGTAATTCTTTAAGTTGTTTCTGTTGTAGTTCAGCATTCTGAAAAGCGTAATTTTTTGAAATTCCATTTGTTGTTTATGTAATTCCAAAAAT